GGAGCTGCTCCAATCCCAGCTCCAGCTACTCGTTTGGGGGCTCCCATCTAGATTTCTGCTCCACGAGAAAGCGACTTCCACCACCCATCAGGGAGAGCAGCCACTCTGCCCAGCAGGGATTTCAGCCCCCCGAGCGCTTCATGGGGCCCCCCCAGCAGCAAAGGCTGCCTCGGTGCCCGACTTACTGACGTTGGGATGGCCCGAGACCTTGCGGAGGATGTCGATCTCCTTGGAGGTGGCTTCCCGCAGCTCCTGCACCTCCTGGGGCGAGATGTTGCCGGCCGTGATGTCGATGATCTTCACGGCGTATTCCTGCCGCGTGACCTTGTGGATGCATCGGCGGACGACGCTGCTCACCCCCCTGCGGGACCAACGCGGAAGGGACGGCATGGTTTGGCTTTCCGAATTTTGCCTGGTTTAATTGCTTTTTAACATCTAGTTGTGGTGAGGATGATGTGGACGCGCTGTGGGGTCTTGCCATTTCTTGCTATATTTCTCCCTTATACTTCCACAACACTTCATGGCATTTGGGTGCTGGAGCCGCAGGGGAGCCCGTGCGTCTCACCCAGCCGCGCTCTCCTGGGCGCAGGGAGGTCTCGAGTGGCACAGGATGCTCCTAGCACCGTTTCTGACTGCTGGGCCACTCCGGCTCCAATGCAATTCCCAATGGATGCTCTTTCGAGGGGGTACCGAAGCGCGTGAAAGGGTGGTTTGCAGAAACCATGCGTTACCTGCCCAGCACCTCCTTCGGCTCATACTTTTCATAAAACTCCTTGGACGAGGTCCAGTCTGGCAGCTCCTCCTCCTTGGTCATGGCTGCGGGCGGCGTGCGGAGCGCTCCTCACTCTGCAGGGAGCTGCAAGGGGAGCAGAGCGCGGAGGGCAGCGCGGGCTCCGGGAGCGCAAACGGGGATGGGGGAGCCGGGATCGCGGAAACGCAGCCAGAGGGAGGCCTGGAGCTCCTGGAGCCAGTAACGGCTCCTCAGGGCCTTTATTATGCCATTATTAACGCTACTCTTTGCTATGTTTACTATTTATAGTATTTTTAGCGTGTGGATGTTCCCTAGAACCCTTAGCTGAGGAAAAAAATAGTTGAAGGGTTTAAAGAAAAATGTCTAAGATGAAGTTAAAAAGGGTGAGGAAGGAGAAGGAGTTTGGAGCCAGGGGCGCCTCGGGGCTGTGGGGTCAGACGGGGCCGGGAGCGAACGCGGGGTATTTCTGGATGGCCCCGCGCACGTGTGCCGGGCAGGGCAGCGGCCGGCGCCAGCTTCCCCGGCGGCTGCGCACGGGCTGTTCCCATCTCTGCCCAAAACCTCCCAGGAGGCTTTGGAATATTCCTTTTTTTTTTTTTTTTTTTTCCTGATGAAGATAAATGCCAATATTGCTGTCGGGTGACTTATAATGGCAATGTTGTGACGATGGGGAAAATATATATAAAAGTTTTCTATTCTCTATGCATATAATGTTTCCAACTAGCCACTGGGTACAGCTGGGTTAATTTACGAGGCTTAGCTGCAGGAAATGTTGTGACCGAGCTATTTGCAACCACCAAACCAAGTCCGGGCTGGCATTTAAACGAGAGGCACCCCCGGGGAGCAGAGAAAAGAGAGTGTTTTCAGCCAGAAGCAAAACAAAAACAACCAAACAAAAAAATGAAAGGAACAGCAACAGCAAAATCCCTTCAGACCCTTGGGAGCTTCCAATGCCAGGCCTAGGGGATGGGTTTGGGCTGGGGGGGCAGGAGCAGGGGGCACTGAGGGGCCGCTTGTCACCCCTGTGGCTGTACAAGCTTGACAGGCCCAGGGCAACATGCAGCAAATATATATATTTGTGTGTGTGTGTATGTGTGTGTATATATATATATTCATGAATACATATATATACGTGTATGTGCATATATATAAATACACATATGCACATACATGAATAAATTTTTTTTTTTTCTTGGAAAACCACCCTGGAAGCCCCCACTGGGACGGCCACGGAGCCTCCTCCCTGCGGACGTGGGGGTGCGAAGGACATGGGACTGTCCTGGCAGGGCACAGGGCAGCCCCGGAGACACGGGGGAGCCCCGGGGGACACGGGGGAGCCCCGGGGACCCGGGGGAGCCCCGGGAGACACGGGGGAGCCCCGGCCGACGTCGCGGCTGCGGCTCCCGGGGGG